AATCCATCCAATGTCCCACAAATCGTGCCTGAACCGCCTGCGGATTCTTGCCCTGGCAGGGTCGAAACAGGCTGGCAGCGCTGTGCGCTGTGCGCTGTAGACTGGGCTTTGCAGGGTGGGAAGACAAGGCCTCTGGGCACCCGAGAAGGCTGGTGGTACAAGGAGCGCCCTGCGAATAAAAAAAAACTAAACTGTTTGAGCGGAGAGGCTATACGGCTTTCTTACTGTATCCGCCCTTGACGCTTAGACTCTGGGGAGAAAAATCCAAAACCTTTGAACCATCTACTGCAGGACCCTAAACCGATGCAAGCCATCAGTATAATTCGGTATAATGCTGTTCAATTTAATTCTAATAGCTTTTTGTTACTACTAGTAAGGCACCTGTTACGACTAGCGTGGCACTTGTTAATAAGGTCGAGCTGTCCATCCGCCTCGCAGATGACTTCGATGTCATCGTCGTCGGGATCGCTGAGGACCAAGCCAGGCCTTAGGTGAAGTCACCGGGCCCAATGCGACTCGATTCAGACGTGTTGGGGAACAAAAATGGATCCCTTACGGCGTCCCCTGGCTAACAATCACCCCTGAGTTCTCCTAGCGGATCACCGCTCTTGCCTGAACCCTTGTCGAAAATACTCTTGTACCTCCCTGAGCATTCTCATGTTGCTCCCACCTCAAGTTTCGACAACGCCGCAAGAACAACTTCGCAGACCCCAAAGCAAGAGCTGGTCTTGAACTTGGAAAATCCCAAGAGCCAAAAGTGAGTACCAAAAGTGAGTACCAAGGCTCTTTGTGACCCCTTGTGAGTACTTGAAAAAATTCACAGGGCCCTTAGAGCCTTGCTCCGCCCGGAGCAAGGAAGCCCCTTCATCCACGTGCCGCGAGCTCACCCTGGCTCGATAGGGCTCCCAGCTCGACAGGCTTCGGCCCCCGAGATCCTGGCGGATCCACAATCCACAAATCAAACAAAATCCACCTGAAGAGGTGAATAAAAGATAAAAAATTGCAAAGATTCGCCACTGTTCTCCACTCGATGGGAAGATCGTTTCTCATCTTTCTCCAGAGGATACCTCCCGTAATTTCGCGGGTGATTTCCTCCGTTTCACCACCCCCGCAGCATGCCGATGCCGGCGCCTGTGGCAGGTGGCGAGGTGGCTCCGGCCGGCGAGGTGAAGCCATCCTCGGCGGTGGCCGCCTTAGACATGCGCAGCTTGGGAACATGCACATCTGATGGACATGTTCAGGTTCTTTCGGAGCTCAGGAGCTTCATGGCAGATGACCTCCGCCTCTTGGCAAGAGAACACCCAAAAAGCATGTTGGGCTTGGACGTGAGTCGAGCACAATAGTAAATAGTATGTGGAGCACGCTGCATGCAGAGTGGGATCGTGAGACTACAAAGTCTGTGCAGGTCAACTAAGTTCCAAAATCATCTTTTCGCCCCACCTCTGTCGGACCCTAAAACCGTTGGTTTCCCGATACTCAGTTGCGAGGCCATGTGGTGTCCGCTTGGTGGCATGGCCCATGCACGGCCATGCACAGGCAGTGCACGGATGTCGTGGGGTGTCAAACGTGCCAGCGTTTTCTTTGAGATGAATTCCTTCCTCTGTTTTTTTTTGCTGCATGCTGCAAGACCACTGCTTGTCTCCCACACAAAGGTGAGTCCTGTGACAGTGACAGGCACATCTGATCTGGATAGTGACCCCACTGATTCGTGGTGTCATCTTGGCCATGCCAAACCTTCTTGAATGTTCAGGACTTCTTGATGATGCAAGAAGCGCTAGCTGTCTTGCTCCACGCAATTAGCAGTTCGGCTCTTACCATCAGATAGACCACTCAGCTAGATGACTCCGACGCACGAATCGCCTTGGAGTTACGAAGAACCTCTTCCTACCCTCATCCGGGCATCCGGGCACTGTGGAGATCCTGCGGACTGGTCCGCAGGAAACGCTCACAAGTTCAACCGGAGTCACAGCAGAATCTTCGCACCCCAAGAGTTCTTGGGTGGACCCTTGTAGAGAGACAACAAAAAAAATAAACATGTTCTTTGTCGGTGCAAATGTGAGATGCACATGTGTTGGCTTTTACGAAATGATACGGGTACTAGAAATGCGAGTGATGCCAGGCAATATGGAAGGCATCAAATGCATTTTGCTTATATGTTGGATCGGTGTTTGATGATTGCCTACGCTCCGCCTATGCTGGGCGAATACTTTAGACCTTTTAGAGCTGCACTTGGTTCCCTATGGCATGCTCCAGTCCAAGGAGGTTGCAGGCTTGGAAGAATCCGATCGGTTCTTTTGAGAACACCTGAATGGGCCTGTAATAGCCCTTCTACAAAAGGTTGCAGGCCACTTCACACAAAGATGATCTTGACATTCGGACACTTCGACTGTCACCGTGACGATACTGCTAGGAGGAGCACTGCAGCATCACCCTGCCGTCACCACCAACGCACTGTCGTGGAAGGAAGGAAACCAAACAACTCCCCGTCTTCGGGTATGAACTTTTAAGCGGACGTCAGTGCAGGAGAACTCATGGACCAACAGAATCGTGCCTCCTTCGCGAAGGCTTGGGGCCGTTCAACCTGACACTGGGGCCGTTGAACCCAGCGATTGATCGCTGTACGCATGAAGAGGGTCTCTAGACTTCCCAAGTGAAAAAGGCCACATCCAAATCAACTTTCAAGAGAAAAAGGGACAGTGCACCCACCATGTCAGGATTCCAGTCTTGACAAAGCACTCCGTTGAGACTAAACTTAAGCATATTGCTTCCAAAATCCTCCATTCTCCAGTTTCCTCTGGTCTTCCCAACCCTTTACGAATCGAAGGAACGCTCACACGCGTTCGTTTAAATTCAAATGTGATCGTTTTGTGTCAATTAGTCCATCAAGTTCGGTGGCCTGCGGAGGCTTGGAAGCCCATGTTGTCGGCACTTCCTGGAGCAGATTCGATCAAATGCGTCGTCTTTGCACGAAAGCGATGCGTCACGAAATGAGTAATGAAAAATCACATATAGCTTTGTTTGAACAAGCCCACCAAGCTTCTTTCATGCGCATCTGTCCGCGCCGGTCCTCTTCGGCTTCGTCCTTGACGGCAGCGACTTCCTTGGTGGGACGTAAGGGTTCAATTGCTGCAACGGTCATCCGTGAGGTCTTCCTTCTGATGATTTTCTCGCAGTTCTCCAGTTCATTGACCGCTTCAGCGATCTCCGAGATATCATTGAGCACCACACCAAGCAAAGGAGGTGATGTTTTCGAAGTTTAGAAAGGACAAAACTCCAGCTCTGCGCTGGTTTTCCCCTCCGCTCCGCCCGACGAGCACTCCGACGGGCGGTGGCACTCGTCCAGCCGCACAGCCCATCGGCCTCAATCGGCAGAAGGTTCGGGGAAGACCAGCAGAAGCAATGGCCTCCAACCTTCTAGCAACGGACTCCAAAAAGTGAGGGAACTGTGCCCGACCGTTGCTAGACGTCCCCGACCGCTTGAACCCGAAAAACAACTCCCCGCCGCCTTCGCCGGTCTCTCCGCGCCCAGCGCCGTCTGAGCCGAAACCCCGCGTCGTCTCCCGGGTCGCGGCGGAGGCGGACCAGAGCGAGCCAGACGGGTCGATGAGACTTGCGGACTGTCGAACGACATGTTCTTAGATTCTTGAGCCAGCTTGATAAGGTCTCAGTTCTATACACGATTATCGATATCGATATGAAATGTGACTTTGGAAGATTACACCATCTTCTAATCTTTGCGATGAAATTCTTTAGAGCCCATGTGAAGAGACTTTGCACTATTCACAACTACTCACCCCCAAGTCTGATTTATAGGGCTCTGCGACTATGCCTTTTTTTGGCCGTGAGCATGAATTGCTGAATTCCAAAGGGGAAAAGTTCATCCCGAAAGTACATTGAAAAGACACCATTTCAGAGCCGCCCTTCCGTTGAATCATGGAACTGGCCAATGACAGGCCAATGACCTCGCTAAGCATTGAAGGCGCCAACTCTTAAAGTCGGATGCAGAAAGCCGGTCGCTTCATTTTGCATGTTCGCATGCTCGCCTACATCGATCTGAGCGATATCTGCAATGAATGGCTGAAATCCAGCGAGGCCAGACTGCAGATAGCTGGGCACTCGATTCCCTTCAATCTTTTGTGGAAATAGGAGCCACTAGTGTTCCCAGAATCTCCTGTAAGCTTTGCGGTGGGAATCCCATCAAATCGCTGCAAGAAAATCAGTTTGGGAGATGGATTATTAGCGTTTTTGGCTCATCAAATAAACAAATTATCTGGAGTCGGAGTCCTTGTCCTCTTCGTAGAACCGAAACTTGCTCAGAGATCTTTCAAAAAAAGCATCACTGCGTGGTTTCTGGAAATTGAGATACCACACCTATGTCCATTGCTCAAAGTCGAAGTCGCCTGCATACGCTGGATTTCTGGACGCTGAGAGGGATCGTGCTTGAGATTCGGGTGGAGCTGCTCCAAAACGCAAAAATATGAGTTCCAATCTGCACAAGCATACCATATCCGCCATATACTCTGAAGACATGTGCTAGTTTTGTTGAGTAACTGAATGTCCAACTTCACATCACGAGCAAGAAATCTTTGCCAAAGGTACGAAGAAAAACTCTGGTGATAGCGACCTTAGGAGGAAATTGGGTCTTGGATAGGTGATTCCCTTGATTTTCTCGGATAGGTGATAGATAGAATCTCGAACTCTGCATGATCAAACCACCTGAGGAAGAAAACCTCCTGTTTCTAGGGGCCCCAGCCACCTCATGATTTCGCAAGTCTTTTTCTGATGATCCATCCGGTTGCCCACCCCAACAGCAGGGATCGTTGGCTGCCCGCTGGCACTCCCATGCTCGAGGAGACCCGGGCGGTTCACGGGAAAGCAGTGGCACAAACTGGGCTATCTGACCAAGTGGATGTTCTTGCTGACATTCTGGTTCATTGCTCATTCGAAAGAGTTTGTGGGCGTCAACCGGTAAGACCACTGGTAAAAAGATTGTCAATAGGCTTTGGGGTGGCTAGGTGTGGCTGCAGGACGTTTGGTGCAACCGTGCAGGTGCTGTCGATCACACTTGGTCCATCTGCCGAAGGCGGCTTTTGACCGCTCACTTCTTTTTGGACTTCTTGGGAGGTGGAGCCATTTCCTTCAAAGCGTGTTTCACCACACGTGTGGCGAACCAATCCCAAAAGTGAGGGGTGCACACACCCATGGCATGTTCCTTCAGAATCAGGCGTGCAGAGGGAGAGTCGCACTCGGAGGTAACACTCTCAAAAGGGTTCAAAAGGGCTCAAACACACTGAGAGCGCGTCTCGGCTGGTATAATCAAAGCACCGTTCATTGCTTTACTCTGAAATAATTGAATATCCAGAAGTAAGACAGTTCCTTCCATGTTGCAAAGTGTGGATATATTGATGCACCAAGATTGGTTGCATCATCAGCACCCGTCAAGTGAAGTCAGTGATTAGATGATCAGTGGTTGATAACAGCCTAGCTTCAGAAGCTAATGCTGACCTATTTACAAATGTACCGTGAATAAGGCTTGAAAACCATAAATATGTGTATGTATATATATATATATACATGCACCCCAAACTATGTTTAATGTTCTTCTGGACCCTGATTTTCCGCTGCTTCCAAACCTTGACTCATCCACGTTGATTCTGAGCTTTCACCTGATTCCAAACCCTGTTGTGTACTGTCAAGCTGATTCCAATCCTGTTTGTTTACTGTCAACCTTTTCTGTTTCAAATTTGGCCGCTGCATTTTCCTTTTACATGCGCTTGATTGGGCATTGCCATTTGCAACCTGAAACCAACCCACAGAGACTACCCCTCACAAGCAGCCCAAACCTTCAATTACCCCTGACCTCAATCATACTAAACATACCCTGGCAAGTTCTTTTAGTGGTGTCCTTTACAGTTCCTTTAGGTTTCCGTTTTTTGTTGAAAAGTTTTAGCTTTATTGGAGGTCATTACATACAATTACTATATACAAAGATCGCAAAGGCAAACACAAAATTGACATTAAGAGCCTAGATGTGTCACGCAGATGTGTCACTCATGCGTGCACTCAGATGTGTTATACTGTATGTGACCATATGTTTGCTTTAGCACATCCACAAATCATAAATCTCTGGAGGCAAACACCGTGCCTGTCGATCAGACATCACACACGACTTCGACCACTTCGACCCTGGACTCCTCTTCCTCTTCCTCCTCCTCTTCCGATTCTTCGTCTTCCAGGTCATCCGGCATCCCATCCTCACCGAGCCAGCCGGGAGCCCGAAGCGTCGCCAGCGCGGCACCGGTGGTTTTCAGGTGAACGACCGACTGGAGGGGGTTTCCGTTGGACGTCTCGGTCCTGGGGACGTGCTTCGGGAATGTCTTCTGTCAGTGTAGGCTGGACATCAGCAGTGGGGGAGGTGGTGTGCTGGAGTCACATCTCATCCTTTATGCTTCATGTCCTTTCTTCTACTCCTTCATGAAGTGTTGTCGTTTCAGAAGAGGTCACACAACGAAGAGGTCGATGCGTGGCTTGCTGCTTGGAGCATCACCCGTTGGGTGGTGAGGACAGGGCATGTTCTTCGGGTGACCCGATGTCCAAAGAAAGGACCGTCAGCAACCTCCTAATAGCAAACCTAGCAACAACCAGTGAAACTGGTGCTGGTGTGATGGTGTCCGACTCAACCCACAGCCACCACCCACCGAGTCCCCCCGCAGGCTCAAAATAGCCGGTCAAATGCATCTCGCTGGCGCCCTTGTTGTGGAAGGTGCACCTTGGAGCGACGGCAGCGACGACTTAAGAGGCGAAGTGTGGACACATGAACACGACTGGCTCTTCCTTTTTGTCCGTTCTGTCACGTGTAGGTACCGTAGTTAGGTCACATTAGGTACTATTCTTGTCAGTCTGGACAAGTGCCAAGCAGCGACCTTGAAGGCTCAGTTGTGGGTGACTCTACATCTGGTGGTTCTGAAGCTTCATTTTCGGTCTTCGGTTGAGTGTCATCCCGTGTCGTCCTTCCGGTATTGCGGCATTCCCAAGTAGATGTGTTGGTGGACTAGTGTGACAAGTACCTCTGCACGACTTCAGATAGCCCACGGACACAGGAACTACGGTGTCGATGTGCGTCGAATGCTCGGATCGTGTCCCGTGGCAGGGCATGTCCCGTTGTCGCCTTGTCCCGTGTCAGCCCGGTGTTCGCCGGGTCACGTGCCCGTCCGAAAGAAGAGATCGAAGGAGGCAAATTCGCTCTTGTCCTGCGAAGAGTTCAGCGCCACTGTCGCCACTGCTCAGTGACCAAAACCGAATCCAGAAGCTGCTACAAGAGGGGCCGCGTGCCGCACCAGCAATTTGAGAGTTGAAGGAAGGACTTCACACTGTAGGCATCGTACACAGGCTCCCAAACAACCCAACGAATCCAACGACCTACGGCAAGCCCCTGAAATCAATCAAACCATATTGGCGTGGGAGGAGAAGCTCTGCCATAGACAAAACTTCATGAACGCCTACTGAAGGGGCAGGATTGGAAAAGATGTACTCCTGTTAGATACCACCCAAGCTTCTGTGACTGCCAGGATCAACGGCCTAACCGTGAGGAAAGAAGAGCACGGAGCACGTCGTCCACTTCGTCTTTTCTTCCCCGATATGAAGCCGTCCTTCTGCAAGCACGCGATGCTATAGGTCTTGTCACCTTCAATCACCTCAGTGTCGGTCCCACCGGTCTCCCCGACCGCCCGATCACACGCCGTTTCAGCGTTTCAGCGGCAGTTCGTGGGCGTCCGCAAGGAGCATGATCCTCTGCCTGGTTCACCTTTTGGAATGAGTCACCAGTGAGAGTTCAACGGCGAAGAAGGACTGGGCAGATTTTGCATTGCATCTGACCACAATATCCGGACACAACTGGTCACAACTAACATACATTTCGCTGACGACCAGGACCAAAAAGAAGTCCTTGTGGATGGAGAAATCCCTATTGCAAGGAAAGAAGCTTCATCCAAACTGTCCAACAGCAGTTCCCTGCTGAGTTCCCCCACTTGGAGGAAGTTCTTCCCCGCCTGCGGCTGGCTTAAGCAGGCCTCGCCGTGCAGGAGCGGTGTCCGCTCCGAAGGGTTGCGCTTGTTATCAGAAGCGATGCACCTGTTACTACTAGTAAGGCACTTGTTCCTAGTAGCGTGGCACCTGTTACTAGAAGCTTATTGTTTCTAATAGCAAACATTGTTACTACTAGTAAGGCACTTGTTACTAGTAGCGTGGCACCTGTTACTAGAAGCTTATTGTTTCTAATAGCAAACATTGTTACTACTAGTAAGGCACTTGTTACTAGCGTGGCACCTGTTACTACTATTGTGCGTGTTTTCCCATTCGGGTCAAAAGGAGAAACGAAAGAACTCCAGGTGGCAGTAGACTCAACAACTTGCGTTCTCTCCATCAGTGTGAAATTGGAGAATCGGAGCGAGTTGTGAACTCAACTTGTGAATCGAAGGAAGAAGTTCAATTCTTGGCAACTTGCCAACTTGCCAGATTTCCTCTCACAGGGCTCCGTTTCGAAAGCCATTTCGGTCCACACGTTCGGTGTCTGATCGGGAGAGGACGTGCCGTGTCGGTGGGTGCCGTGCCTGGGAGAGGTGAAGCACATCGCCTCCCGAGTTCTCCTGTGCTCCGCGGCCGAGTCCCGCGTTGCTGCGTTGCGTCCGCCTTTCAAATGGGTTGGTCCGGGTGCATGGTGAGTGAAGACTTCCAGAAGAGACCGGAACCTTGGAAGTGTTTTTGCTCAAAGAAAATATTCCTGAACACAATCGCACCCAACATCTGAAGCTTGTGACTGCTGTGACTCAAGAAGGGGCAGAGGATGGCAGAGGTCACAGAGGTCGTCTTTCGCTCAGCCTGTCAAGGAGTGAAGCGATTGGGTTTGACGGGATAAAGAGATATCCTTCTAGTCCCACCACCCCATTCCACAGAAAATCTTTTAAAGGGCTTAGCCGGCAGAGGCCCCTCTTCTCTGTTCGGGAGCCCGAAGTGATGGCGTGGCATTCGCAACTCTTGGAGCTGAAGGGATGAGGCAAGAGAAGGAAGCAAAGAAGGCCGGAAGATCCACATCTTCGTACCCAATCCGCCAAGCACGGTGACCGCAGGGTGAGGTCAGTCGCAGGCGCCCAGCAAGCCCAGCAACCCACATCTCCTTCACTTGGAACTTGCCTCCTGGTTTTAGCAGGCACCTCAGGCATCAAATCAAGGGATGCTATTTGTGTTGTTTTGAAGCTACTTGTGATGCACAAGTGTGTAAATTATAGAATATGGTTGATTGATTGGTATTCTCTGCGACAGCTAGCGCGCCATATCGTAGCATCTGGAAGTATGGACCTTGGGATATTCACCTACCTTGGTGCCAGATGATCAAGAACCTGAGTGAGAAATGAATGGAATTTCCTGCAACACTTTGAAGACCAAATGAGGCTCCAGGCCCCCAGAAGCTCATTGATCACACCTGACCCAGGGAATCTCCGCATCCGCAAGGATGGTGATGCTAGACGTGCGCTTTCACAACTTATGCATTCTTGACATGATTGCTGACTCAAAGCTCCCTATTGATGTTGCGGAAAGGTAGGTGTGAATGCTTCAATAAAGTTCATGATGCTGGTAAATGACGACATTAACATTCCCTCATCAGTTTTCATTTGAAGATTCGGGTGGATCCGAATCCCAACATCACCGTTTCACAGGGCATCTCTTCAGTCGCGCATCCACGCAATGCGAAACCCGATGACAGATGCGTGGTGCACAAGCAATGACCGCCACAGAAATCCGGATGGCACGCCCCGCCTCCTGCGCTGGTCGCGACTCCCGGTGATCACATCTAACTTCCGAGCCAAAGCCATGGAGGACATCAACCATGCTGGAGCTGCTGGAGCTGCTGAATGGTTTGGACCCCAGATGTTTTTTCTTGGACATCACACACCCTGGAAGGGTCAGGGTCAGTGGTTGGCTCATTCAGATTGAACCCAAAGTAGTGAAGGGCTCAGTTCCACCTTCCACTGTTTCAAAAACACGGTTTCCAACGCAGTTTTGTTCAACCACAAAACCTGCTCCTGGCCTCAGGGTTAGGTGGTGAAAACCTCCGGCCTTGCTGATGGTCAAGGCCTGAACACTGCCGGCCTTGCCCATCTGCCTTTCAGCAATGAGCTTTGACTCATGGATCCCACATGGCTTTTTTTGGTTCACCATAGTTGATGTGCCCCAAAAACTGCCATCAACACACACGGCGCCCAAAAACCAGGTCCCAACGAACGGCGTGTGCATGTGGGCATGTGCGCGGCGCGGCGGCGTGGCGTTTTCAGGGCGGTTTGCTCCCTTTTTCGTCCGTCACCAGCGCACGAAGCCTAGGGAGCCTCGGTTCAACGTTCGGTGTGTGGAGACGCCGTGGTGCGAGGGGTGGAGGCCATGCGCGACGTAGAATGGTCTCCAATTAGTGTTAAGCCCCAAATGGGTGTGCGAAGCCAAGGTTTCTTTGGCGCTTGTAATGGCAAAGTGCCTTGGTTGTGAGTGATCTTGCGATAGTTTTTTGGGGGATCTTCCTGCTCTTGGAGTGCCCAACGATTCTATGCAGTCATGCTTTTGTCTTCCATATTCTATGTGCCTCAGGGTGGCTCTACTCGGACAGAAACCTCGGGATGATGCAGAGGCGTTCGTCGGTCAACTCCCGGCGGTGCATGTTGGCAAGTGTGCGGCGTGGCGACGACTAGCCCGCATGGGACCACTTTTGTCAAGTGGCTTGGTGTCTGGATACAGATGCCCTGACAAAAGATTGAGTGATGATGAATTACGGAGCCCAAATGGTATACACCTAATAGCCTAACAGAGCCTAGGGTTCCTATTTTATTGCAAAAGCTTCGCAATCTCGGTACCATAACGCCGCCTTTTTGCTGTGCTCACAGAACTGCAGTCTTTTGTTACCTTTCTTTGCATTTGACGCTTTGCATTTGATTGTTTCTTCTGGTGTGGGAACGTCTTGTGAGCACGGTAGTGCCAAGTGTTAGTCTGGGTTTTGCCATCAACAGCACCACCCACGAACCCACACTACACTCCCCGGTGAAGCATACAGCAGTATTTACCAGTATACCCGTCCTGGTTATCAGCCATTTCATAAAAGAAGCGTGTTCCAAGAAGTGTATATTATAGACTAGATGGATAAACGCCCACAAATGCATTGTAGAATGTTCTAGATATGTTTGGTCCGTAGCACCAAACCAAGGCTGCGTTTGTCTTGCGCTTCATCCTCCACTCGGAGAAGAAGGCGGCTCGGGCTCCCTGCACCTCCGCCTCGCAGTCCAGCGCCGTCAGTACGGCCCATCCTCAGAAACCAAATGCTTGGAGCACGGCAAAATCAGATCAGAGGTGCTGTAGATGGGCCGTGTCTAAATTTGAAAATATGATCCGATTCAGAATCCACAGATCGGATCAGTGTTTTAGAAAATCAATGGCTCTGAAACGGACAAATCAGTTTGACAAACAGTCCCTGAAACCTTTTCTCTGGGTCTAGACAGAAACATGCTGGGGGGTGGAGCTCTCAACATGCCATTCTTTGATTTAGCTCGTGGGCCCTTCGAGAAAAAGTGTTACAGTAAACCATGGCCATAGCAAGCTATCTCACGGGGGAAACCCACCAGACGCGTGCTTGGCCTGTGCTAGTTGCGTCGGCAAAAGCTTGTCAAAGAGATCGGTGTATTGTTGAGTTGCCATGCCGCCCGCACCCCAACATCTCGGACGCTTTTATCATGTGTCTGGGACAAACTAACCAGACTTCCACCACAGGCCATGCGACACACAAGCAGCACAAAAAAAGAAACGCTGGCCGCCCATCAAAAACTTGCAAGACAAATGGAGGAGGACTTGAAGGCAGAAACTCACAGAAACCTCTGCAATATCGGTGTCTTGCACCTCTGAAGGTCAAAAAAGGTTGTTCGGGCAGCAGACAATGTGAAAGATAAGGTGAAGACGCGCTCTTGCACGCACGTCCAATTCGAAGACCCCCACAAACCACGCCCCGGGCTTTCCGGCCGGGTTCTGCGGTGTGTGCCAGATATTCATTGTCCGGCCTCGGATGCAGCGAACATGGGTGAACTCGGCCAGAAGATCAGCGAACACTCATGTTACCAGGCTTGCTTTTCAAAGTCCAGGCAAAAGGCTCGAGAGGATGATGGTGCCTTTTCAATTCCTCCCCATGGTTTCCTGGTGATCCTGCTTGAGATGTCCATAGAATTTTGAACAGAAAATCTTGAAGGTTCATTTACTTTCCAAGACAAGGTGCTCCTTCACATTCATGAGATGTCACCCATTTGGATCTCCAATAGGTCAATAGGTCAGTTCAACCAACAACCTGCAGGGTTGGGCGTCATGGTTCGTCATGGTTCAACAAATGCTCTCACCGTTCCCTGCGCTGAGACGAGACCCCAACCCCCAAAAAACGCGACGGATCCACGCTTCCAATGACTTCAGGCCATCAGCGAAACGCTTCTCCTCCACAGCAGATCCGCCCCGCGACGCCTTCAGTTCCAAGCAGCTCCAGGTGGCGATTTTCAGCCGCAAACGCCACCGACAGCAAGATGCGGCCTCGCGCCACATGGAAATACCTTGGAAGACCGTTCATTGGATGAAAGACGGCACAACATCCCTGGCCCAAAGGCAAAAAGAACCGGAAGAGGGACAGTAAATACCCTGATGAGTGTACAGTGCACTCCTGAAGGACATAAACAGGACTTTGGAGTCCTCAGCACATGGAACATGACTTGGAGACTCGTATCCAACTGGCGGTGAAGTTCCATCATGGACTGTCAAACCTTTTGAAAAGGCACCCATCTGACGTCCCTGGGCGGATCGCGAGTCCTTCTACATCTCGCTGGAGCAAAACCGAGCAAAGGACTCAGAGTCACAATCCTTCACCCCGACCCCCAAAACGCATGCTGAACACACCAACCGGGCCATCCCCGGCTTCGATCCGATCACTTAAAAGGGCCCAGGGCACGCAAGGACTTCATCCTCCGAGATCTCCCAAGGCACCCGCTGCAGGTATCCTGCCCCAGATGCCGTGCCCCGGCGCTGAGGCCGACGAAGGACCGGGAAAAGATGCGAGCAAATGCTCATGACGTGTCGCAGCCTTCAGGTGGAGATCCAGCTGAGCACCCCGGTCAGAATAGACAACCAAGCATGCATGTTGTTTTCCACAGGTTGTGACCCACCCCATTGGTCTTTCTTCCCATGATGGCCAATCTAATGTGCTCCCAGGCCACTGCAGACCCTCCCAAGTCGAAGTTGCGAGTTCAGCACAAAGCCACCCTGACAACTCTTCTCCCAAAGCTTCTTGTTACTACTAGTAAGGCACTTGTTACTACTAGCGTGGCACTTGTTACTATTAGCTTCTTGTTAAACCCAACCACCAAGTGCTCCAAAGAACCGCGTCCCAAAAAATACAAACCTCGCCGCGGCCCAGGAATTCTGCCGCATTATCTGCTCTGGCCTCGAAGGACCTCAGAGAGCACCAGAACAGGATCCGCCTGTGGCTGCGGCTGTCACAGTGACCGTGTTGAAAGTGGTAGGCCACAGGATCTTGGTCGTTCCTTCACACAGCGTTAGTAGCAGCAGCAGTAGCAGTAGGAGTAGCAGTATCTTTGCAGCATCAGCATCAGCATCAGCATCAGCAGCAGCAGCAGCAGCAGCAGGAGCAGTAGGAGTAGCAGTATCAGTAGCAGCATCAGCATCAGCATCAGCATCAGCATCAGTAGGAGTTGGAGTTGGAGTTGGAGTTGGAGTTGTTGTTGTTGGTAGAGACAAAAACAGCCGCCCAACATAGTTGTCACATGTTGCAAGTCAGGGATTTCAATGGGATTCTGTTAGGGATAGGGTCGAAGGTTTGGAGAGATGTTAGTAGCTGGACTTCTTGTTGTTGTGGTACTCAAGGCTTGGTTGGTGCTTCTTGTTTTTTTGTTGTGTTGTTTGGGGGGGGGGGGGGCCAAAAAACAACCACGGGGTTGCAGTTTTTGTTTCTAGGATGTGGTAGAGGTTCTAAGTAGAAGTTTTACAGGGTTTACTTAACCAGTTACAATAAGCATCACCAGTAGCATGACCCTCAGAGGAGTTTCATAGACCCTAAGAAGGCGTTTAAATCGACCGTATTGTTCCATTGGAATCCAAAAACTTCCAGGAGTCTCCAAGAAAAGATTGATTTTCAGTGCATAGATTGAGAACCGGGTTTCCACCCCCTCCGCCTCCGCACACGCCCCGCGCACTGTCCACACGTCCCGGGGTGGGGGGTGTCTACCACTAGTAGTAGCACTAGTACCACTAGTAGTAGTAGCAGTAAAGTGCTTGTTGTCTGGTTGTTTTGGGGGGGTGTCAAAAAACAACGACGGGGTTGCAGAATTTGTTTCTACCCCCTTGTAGAGAAAAAGAAAGAAGATGTGGTGTAACGGGGTTGCAGTTTTTGTTTGTACCTTGTTGTTGTTGTTGTTGTTGTTGTTGTTGTTGTGGTTGTGGTTGTGGTTGTGGTTGTGGTTGTGGTTGTAGTCGTTGTGGTTGTCGTGGTTGTTCTTGTTCTTGTTCTTGTTTCATGTCTTTCAGTAGTAGATGTTGTTTCATGTTGTTTGGAGCGTTCTTCTCGTCAGCTTGCTATCTTCCTATTTCTTCGCCAAACGATGCGGGCCTGGCCCAGGCTGAAGTATCCTGGCAGCGTTCGCTGGGCAGAAACTCCGGGACCTCCTACTTCAAGGCTCATGTCACGGTGGGAATGTCCATAACCGCTTTAGCTTGCTCAGGGTGTTGCGAAGCCCACAACCGCTACATGTAAACCATGTGGAAACAACGAAGACTCTCTCAAAAAAGAGAACAGGTGGTTTTTTACGAGGACTTGCTGGGCCAGTTTCTGCAGGATCCTGTTTCCGCTTCTACAACCAAGCTTATATGGAAAGTGAAATACTCGGCTTCATGTTAGCTTTCTTGTCCCAATCTATCAATCTCAATCGGTTCTGGTAGCTGGTAGATGTTCTCACATCCTTGAGCGGTCCCTTCAGCAAGGTCTAATCATAATCGAATATGCCAAAAGCTTGTCATTCAAACAGGACTGTGATGAACCCAAACAGAGTCCTTGACGATCACTAAGAGCACACAACACACCTGTAGTCAAGCAACGACATGTTCAAGTCCAAGAAATCCCATACTTCACTCCACAACACCCATCAGCAACCCACATACCAATTGATATCTTTGCACCTGCCCATCTCCTTCCGCAAAAGCCGCACGAACAGCCGTGCCGTGCACCCATCTCCGCCGTCCGCCCGTCCTGCGGTGATGCCCGGCTCGAAGATGCGACAGCTGTGGATCGAATCTCCAAAGTCGATCACGCCCACCTCGGACGCGACGACGGGAGCCGACGGCTTCGGCGACGCGACCAAAAGCGGCGAAAAGGAGGCGAAACGCGAAAAGGAGGCGAAAAGAGAACGTATCCAATTTAGAAGGCCCCACAGCTCGGGCAGTGACGCGGCGGAAGCCGACGCAAAGGAAGCGAAAAGAAAACACCACGCGCAAAGGCGCCGAGGACCTGTGTGGCGCGGGGGAGAGGAGTGATGTGTGGGGTGATCGAGGGGAAGAGCAAGCTGAGAGTGCTTCGGTCTGCCGGGATTTGTTGAAATTGCGAATGTCTACCAACTCCGCAGCCTGCGTTCTGTTCGTAGGATATCTCTCATCACATCTCATTTGGGTCAATTCCCTAAATGATGAGCATCATTCTTTAGAGGCTGTCTTTTTGCTTTTCCTTCTTTCTTAGCCCGTGGCCCTGCCTCCTCACTTACATAAGTAGCTTGGCCTTGGCACCAAAGCTTTCACTGACCCACGGCGTCCTAAAAGTGCCCCCACGGCTGAGTCTTGAGCTGGCAAGAACTTTGGAGCCCGTTTGTGGGCACCATTCGGCTAAGGGTTCCTGCCCATCGAAATCCACGAATCAACCAAAGGGCCACTTCGTCGTCAGCGAAGAGCAGGTTTGTATCCTGGGGCTCTGGGGCGAGGGTCGCCCACGGATGACCGACGCTGACTGGATGACTGGATGGTCCACCAGTCCAGATCTGGCAGGACACTGTCATGGACAGTTCACACCGGAGAACGGCCATGTAGTTTCATACATATTTGTTCGAGTGGTTGGCTGGATCGGAGATACAGGAATGATAGGATTAACCCTGATTCCAGATACGGATCAAATCATCACCTCTCCGGCACCCTGCCACACCATCCACCCCTTCCATTCCAACTCGGCAAAGAGTCGTTGAGATCGGCATGCAGCACTGTATGCGGCAGCACGTCGCACAGCCGCCCTCCGTGCTCGGGGCGCTCTGTGCAGAGGCGCTCGGCGTAGGCGTGGCAAAGCCGCTCCGCCAGCGGGCGGCGGTCAGCAGAAATGAAGGGCAGCTTGCTCCTGGTGAGGTGTAGGTGAGAGGTGCAAGCTCCGAAGCGCAATACGCAGAAGTTTGGTCTATGTTGGTGGCCTGCTCGGGGGTGGCACAACTTTGAAGCGTTCCAGCGGCATACACATGGCATGCGCCTCAGCTCACGTCTGTTGGATTCTTTCCGAACAAATGCGCATTTCGGGGAGGATCCTCTTGCCTTTCAACTGGGTGTTTCCAGGACCTTCGTGGTTAGCTCATGTTGCATTATCTGTATTCGAATGCAAAATGCGGCTAGGCCAGCCGCGCCGCTTTCCTGAACTTTGTCCTCCACGGTACACATGACTGCTGAGATCAAACACCCCAAAGTTGGAGCTTGACGACAATCTGAGAGCCACATCAATGCCGGTGGAAACACGTCACAGGCTGCTTTCAGCTCCTCACCACTTCTGGCAAGCGCTTCATGTCCCAAGCCCAGGTCCATTGAAAACCTGCCCAGGTCGGCTGCAAAGAAAGGATCTTGGGTGCTCTTGCGGGCGCAAGGATCTTCCGGGGTCAACCGGTGAGGGATCCGTCGGAAAGTCCATCCCCGGCGCCGACGCCTTTGGCATCGAAGCTCTCCAAGGCCACGGCCACCGAGCCGCAGAGCGCGCCGATCCTCCGCAGCAGCGCGGGGCTCTTGGGCGCCTCGTTCCTCGGTGGCGAGGTGACGTTCCGGGCCGTCGGAGGGGAGGCAAGGGTGTGGGGAGACCCAAAACAGAGAAGAGGCGGTCGGTCGGATGGGCGGAAGTGAGGACATCTCCCCAAAAAGAGGAGATGAACCTATGCGTTTGGGCGAAGAGGCGGACCAATCCAACTGCCTGAAGCCATGTTTGCTTGATTTGATGATTCAAGGTCTGGGGACTAAAGTGACTAAAGGGGCCAGGCCATCGGAAGTGGCCACTTGAATGGCCACTTGAGGCTTCCAAGTGTCTTGATCAAATCACCTTCCAGATAGGTCAAGATGCGCACCAAGGCAGGCACCGGTGAGGGCAACGTGTAGGTGGAGCATCCATCTCGGTAGAGCACTTCCGGAACTGGAAGCCCCTGACGCTGCCCGGTTCGACCGGCGGTTCGATTCCAAAAAAGCACATGGATCCTGTCAAGTCCACAAAGGTTCAAAGAATTTGAGTTCACAATTCTTTGTTGAAAGCAAGAATTTCTCTGGCGCCAACCTTGGGCTGTCTCATCGACTTTGACCCAAGTTGAAAAGAACCCTTCGCAAAACACAGTTGATCCAGTTGACCCAGGGGTTGACCTAGTGGGGTTTCGTCACCCCAAAAGTTCCAAAAACCAGACTCTCTCCGAGACAAGCCAGTCCTCCCAGTCCTCCCAGTCCGGTCGAAGAAGGGAAGAGACGCCAGGCCTGGCTGTGGAGTTGGCACATCAAACGATCCTGGGCGTCCAGTCGTTCCAGCGATCCACTCGGCAGCAAAGTGTTGTGCGCCTTGACCACATATTTCCGCCCATCCTGCTCTGTGACATGGGCAGGCGGAAAGCCAAGAACAAACGGATGATGCTTCGAAGCAAGAATTTGGATTGGTTCAGGACATTTTGGCAGGTCATCTGATCAAATTGGAGTGGTAATGAAAGCGGTGCTCGTGATGCCTAACAATTCCGTCAACTTCGTCTGCGTCACGAGCAAATGCCAAAGCGATGGTTAGCTCAAGAAGCATCGAAAGACCGTCCAAGAAGCTTTGGAGGACTGCTCAACCACCCTCCAGTGGTTTCTTAAATCAATCAATCAATCCAAACGATGGAACGACGGTCAGCAAACAGCGCGTATCACGAGTCGTCCTCGAACGTCACCATGAGGTTTCGATCATCCTGGGATCGACCGAACGAAGAAGGACTGACACAACCAGCTTCGACGTTCAACCAAGAAGGCAAACGGTCAATCAAGAAGAGTTGGATCCCATGCAACCCACCACAAAGAGGCATTTGGTCAATGCCAATGGGGTGCGATGAGCTGGCGGGAAGAGGGGGAGACGTCGGGTCGAGTGCAAAGACCTGCGGCTCACATTTGTTTTGTTCAAAGCGAAACCACCAAGCCTTTGCGACTTTCCAGCATCCACAAACTACTCCGAAAAGTCCTTCCGGAGCCCAGACTGCGAATGTGGTGAAGTGGATGTGAACCGTCATCCCTCTTCCCTGGCTGAAGAAGGGAGATTCGGGTGAGGCCGGAATTTTGATTCTGATCCACTTCGCGATCCCATTTACCCATCCATCCAATTGCACCCAAGGAGCAAAAGAATCCAACTCCTTCCATCTAAACTCGCCTGCCCGCTCCCCAAGCCACGCCCGAATCTCCGAATCCAGAAGGCAAACACGAAAGATGGTTCAATTGGTTTGAACAACATTGACGCTGTTCAAACGAGTTTATCTTCAGCTTGTGTTGGGCAAATGTTTGACACATCCTCATTGAGGGGGTCACACCACACCACCAAGAAAGAACAGACCAGTGGGTTTTGGATGGTTTCTGGTCTATTTTCCGAACCTTCCACGGGGTCGTTGCTGGGGGGGTCGGTCTCCCTATTTGAGCTCCACACCCATATTCACTGGCAGCGGTCCCTAGAGTATGTGCGAGGCGACCTCGTGCCCCATCGGGCGTCGGACCCCATGTGATGGACAGAACAGGGGGCCTCCAGGTGATCTCCAGTACACCTGTGGTCCACACCAAGACATTGCGGGTTCACCGGCTCGGCGTTCGGCTCCAGGGATGTGTTGGGTCCCTTCCGGACAAAGAGTTGCTTTTTCTCGGGCTAGAGTTCAACAAACTCGTCCGAGAAGATCGAACTCCGAGGTGGTGTCCAAGTGGTATCCTGGTTTGAAAGAAAAGCACCGAGTTGCAAACCTCCAACCTCCCCGCATTGCCCTCGCCTTTGTCCTTCCCGCATCGCCTCGCCCCGCCTTGAAGCCCAAAGTGTTCCAGCAGCTCAGGCAGCTTTGACACCAAAAACTCCAGCGGCGGTCGGCCCTCCATGGCCGAACTAGGAGAAGTTCAAGCGCCCAAAAAGGCAGAAAATCCCACTTCGTCGGTCTTCAATTTCTGCCAGAAATTCCGGATAGCTGAAACATATTGTTTCTAAAAAAAGAGAGAAACACTTCCTGGGTGCCAACACTTTCAGGTATTGTCACCCAATAAACGGAACTATCTTCAAACCATGCTCTAAGTTTCTTCAGACTGACAAAAACCATCAGAGGCAAAAATGGACTGTGGATCAAAACCCCCAAGTTCTGCAACATAGACTTTCAGTGATCTATATATTTGGTTTTCGGAGTGTGCCATTGGTTCTGAATCATCGACTTGAGCTTGCACAAAGGCTTCGTTTGATTCCTCCGATTGAATTCAATTAACTGTCAAAGGTAGAAGCGGCTCTTTTCACTTCCACTGGCTTGAGAAAGCCGCTGCGGTATTGGGCTCGTTCATGTGCTATACATGTAGTGCAAACAAGGTCACGAGTGTCCATGGTTAAGTCTGACACCCTGCCTTTTGTAGAGACGAACGAGTCTCTGCAAACACTGTAGGACTTACTGCGAGTTCAGCTCTCAAACAGGCCTAGATTCAAGCAGCTAGCGATAGCGCGACAAGTTGAGGCATCGGTGCTACATCTCTCCTCCAGAATATCTCGCGATGGATGGAATTATGGGCCCTTCTTTGAGTTTTTAGAGTGGCTGGCGCAAACACCAGTATCGCATGTGGGGGCCGTCCCTCGCTTTGCTGTCCTCCGGTGGGCGCTAGGAGAAGATGCTGACCTTTGGCTCCCCCTGAGAGGCCGTATCAGTCGCGCTTCCCCCTGTGTGTGGTGTGGCCGCGATGCCAGAAACTACCCTGCTGGGTCCGCCCGTGGGGCGCTGTGCTGCACCTGCACTGGGCAGCACCCGGATTAGCCTCATCTTTTCCAGAGGTGCGTCTCCTCCCTCTGCTGAGGGATTTTTTTTGCACGAGTGGAGGCGCTGTGTGTGCAGGTTGTGCACAAGTCACCTTAGTCGAGTGAAAAGAGAGTTACCAGCCAGGTTGCAACCGAACAGGGAAAGAAAGAAAACCAAACCCAAACAAAAACCACACAAAACGGAAAGGGAGCAACCTGTAGAGTAACTCGAGGTGCCAGGTAGGCATGAAAAGAGTGAAACAGGGGCAGTGAATTCAGCAAAGCCCTCAGAAGTTCTTGTCCATCGACGAACTGGCAAGAGGATGAGCCAGAACAGGCACATCAATGCATGAGCTGCTGCCCACGGAAGTGGGTGTCAACATTCAGCAGCTGGTTTGGTTGCCAAGGTCTTTCACAGACAGGCTCAGCATAAGAGCACGAAGGAGACCTATGACCGACCTCACAGTGCCCGTACATGCATGGCCCACGAGATTCTATCTTGGACTTGTATTTAGTCAGGTAACCTGCTTGACAGCCGGCAGCATCGTGCCTCATGCACGCAAAGAAGTGACAAACTGGGAAGACCACAGTCCCCATTCTCGGGATGTCCAACATACCAATAGCGAAGACAGTGTAATGCCACTGGCGAGCTTTCAAAAAGAGGCGAGGGGAGTTGCTCCTCCCATTCCTCGCCACGAGGGGGAGGCACAAAGGCAGCAGATCCTGAACTCTACTACCGACACGGCTCATCACCGAGAGCAGAGCAAGATATGCTGCGCGAAGGCAAACGAAGTGGGGGAAAGGCATCTTCTTCTGAAGTGTGCTGCAAAAATGTCGCATTTGGAAACCTGACAAGATCTTTCAAACGCGGCCAGATATGATGCGGCCGATCCATGCAGGGCCCCGTGAACTACTCGAAAACAGGTGAGACATGTGTGAAAACACGGAAGCGAGTGCGACCCTTTTCTGAATCCCGCTCTTGAGCCAAACATAACAGTCGGTTTGACTGTATGTCTGTTCGTCCTTCTCTTCTCTGAAGAGGTCTGACTGGTCACAGTCGTCCAAAACATACTAAAAGTACAAGAAAGCATCTCCAAACACTCTCAAGCAAAGCTAGGCTATACACAGCTCATCTCAAGCACTACAACTCTATACTTAGGGCTTCTCTAGACATGCTCCTAGCCACTTCTGGTCACATTCCACTTAGTCCTGCTAAGGTGGTCAAAGCAAACACACTCCAAGGAGGAAGATCCCTACTCAGCTCCAACCCCAAGGACAGAAAACGAAAAAGTTCCACTACACAGAGGTACTAGGTGATCCACACACTGTACAGGCGTGCTACCCACTTCTTCTCTTCAATTCGTTTTCTCTGAGCAACTAGGGTTCGAGCATCAACTAAGATCTCAACTCCTGTGGTCTAAACTGGTCTCCAGGTCGATCAAACGTCAACGAATCAAGAACAACGAGCTTCAAGCAAGTTCAAATCGAGATCAACCAATCAACCATGCTTCGACCAAGCAAGCAAAACAACAAAGATTCAAGGTCTCTCAGACAGGAGGGCTTCATAGAGCTGCACTGGGCCAGCTCTTCGCCTCTGCTTCTGTCATCACTGGGACCCTGAAACCTCACAAGGTCTCAAGTGGTCACCTGACAGGTCAAGCAAACGAAGGTTCCTGAAAACAAAACCTGTCACACTCAACGTGCCCAAAAGCTTCACACAGCAAGTGAAGAGGAAGCTAGCCAACCCTTTTAGCTACAACCCTCTGTTACTTTTGAACTCACAGTTCATGAAGCACATCTTGAACTCCAAACCCTTTTCCATTTCCTCTCAACTGTAACCAATCGACTCGGCGTCACAGTCCCAAAGTCCACAGCAAGCAAAGGAAACTAATCAACCCTTCTAGTTACTGCCCTCTGCTACTGTTGTGCAAAGTCCATTGTGCAAATGCCAATGACATCCCTGATTCTCACAGTGCTCAACCCTTGATCTCTCCTTGATCCCACTCTCCCTGAACCCCTGACCTCATCCCTTTTCGTCCTGGCAAGTTCAGACATAGCAATGCACAAAACTTCAACTCTTCAAGATCACACACGTGCATTCCCTTGACTCAACAAGAAACTTGAACAAGACATCAGGAAGTTCAAGTGTAGATCAAATGAAGTTCAAACTGAATCTCACAAGATCAAATCGAACAGCTGCAAATCGAAGATCAAATCCCTCAGAGCAAACCCTTTTCACCAAGGTGAGCTGGCCGCAGTCAAAGATGGCCCTTGAAAGTCGATCTTCTTAGGATGCTACATCCCCAGAAGTCAAATCACCATGATCTTTAAAAGATCTAGATGTCACCCTGGCCGATCTCAGCCCAGCTCCATGATCCATCTGCCAGCCTAACCCTTTTGTACCCCGGTGCCGTTGGTGCAGCGGGAGCACTGGTTCCTCCTGGCGCCGTGGGCGTCTGAGGAGTACCAAAGATTCCAGCTCCAAATGTCGGTGGTGGGAACACAGGACTTGGCGGAAAGGCTGATGGACTTGGCGGGGTCAAAGACCCTGGCATCAGCTTCGGCTGTACTGCCGCTTGCGGTACGGTCATCCCTCCTGGCGCACCCTGAGCTGGAACATTTCCACTTGCCAGTGCCATCGGGGGCGGTGGTAATTTCGCTGCTGCAGCCTTTGGGTCATCTGGCTTCTGAAGATGTGGCCCACATTGCAGGCTGGAAATTTCAGCCTTTGTCAAATGCGACAGTGTGGCTAAGACGAGGCGTAAGCGCCTCACCTTACCTTGGTGATGCTCTGCTAGACACACAAGCAGGGGCCCAGACCATACTTGGTGGGGCATAAGGGCCTGATGGAAGACAGCAGTGGCTTCTTCTACTTGGATCGGCGTGAGATCTAGGGAGCCTCGAATCACGGGTTCCTTGTCATCACAGGTGTCAATGCTTTGAACACCATGCAGGAGAGTTTTTTTTGCACGAGTGGAGGCGCTGTGTGTGCAGGTTATGCACAAGTCACCTTAGTCGAGTTGAGAGTGAGTTACAGATCAGGTTGCGACACAAGAGGAAAACGAACAGAGCGCCAAACAAAAGCCCAAACCAAAAACACCCCCGCCAAAAACAAGCGCAACCTGTGAAGTAACTCAGTGGCCGTGAGGGCGTGAAGAAAGGTGAAACAGGGGCGATGAATTCAGCAAAAACGCTCAGTACTTCTTGTCCTTCAACGAAGTGCACGGAGTGCATCCAACAAGTGCAAGCGGAAAGGCACCAAGGGCAAAACATCGCAAACACGGTATTGAGGGCCATATGCCCGTGGTAGTCACTACGAGTATTGAGCTTGGGCGGCAATGAGGACATTGGTCGAAACCTGAGCCACAATTTAACGTCGTCTTTTCACAGTCGTTTGATGTGTGAGTACCTAAGCGAATGCGGATTTGCAAGGATACCTAGGAATGTCCCATTGTATTCAAAGTTGGGCACATTCAAGCCAGATGGCTTACTCGATGGCTGGCAGTGACAGGTATGCGGAACCAAATGAGTGGCAGCATGGGAAGACCACAGCCTTCAAGCTCGGCATTTCCAAAAAACCGAGAGTGAAAGACCATGTGACGCCACAAAGAGGGGTTCAAGGGCAGTGGAGTGGCCCACTCCGTACCTCCCCCCGAGGGGGGAGGCACTAACCAGAGCACATCAAGCAACGGTGGCCCACGAACAGCTTGGCAATGGGTTCTAGGCGTGACGTGCTCCAGGAGAGGGCACTCATGTCGTGGAGATGCTGCAAAAAAATCGCTTTCGGCCATCTGACTGGTTCTTTCAAACGCGGCCAGCAAAAGCAGCCGTTTCATGCAGGGCCCCATAAACGACCTGAAACTAAGAATGAGGTGAAACATGGTGAAACGCCGTTTTCCTAATGCTGTACACTGTACTCATCCAGAACCACTACACAGGTAGCAGTCTGGGACTGTCTAACTATTCAGATCAACGAAGTCAAGCTGTGCTGCACTATTGGTTGGAACAATCAGGAAAGTATGTGCTGATGCGTGCGCCATATGGTTCTATTGCTCCCTTAGCTCTGATGACTGGCACATTTACTCGAGCTCACTTCAGTGACCTGTCGATGGGCAGCGTTTTTGGCAGGGCGAGGGCGATG